TGTGTGTGTGTGTGAGTGTATGTGTGTGTGTGTGTGTTTGTGTATGTGTGAGTGTGAGTGTGTGTGTCAAACACACATTGTTCCTGAAGGTCACTGTCACGTCGTCATGTGTGTGTTATCCCTGTTGAAAAATCTAGCATATGCTGGCTAGGTATGTTTTGAAGCATAGCTGCTGGTTTGAGCTGGTTTAAGCTGGTCCTTAGCTGGTAATGAGCTGGCTTAAGATGGTCATGTGCTGGTCCTAAGCTGGTCCTAAGCAACTAGCTCCTGCTTAGGACCAACACATGACCAGCTTAGAACCAGCGTAAACCAGCTCATGACCAGCAGCCATGCTTCAAAACATCGCATCACAGAGGAAAGCGTGGATGTGTGTGGATTGGCAGTCAGGATCAGTGTTTAAGCTCACCGTTAGCAGAGCGACTCCACTGAGTGCAAACATGGCAGTGCTGCTTGTGCGTTTGTATTGAGGTCAGGCAGCTGCAGCACTGAAGCACACACATTTCCTCCTGCTTTCTGTCTAGTGCTCATCAGAAGCGATTAGTCCGGTCTGGAGAGAAGTTTCTCCTGCCAATCACGCTTGAATCTGCTGCTCCAGAAACTCAGAGACGATGCTGCTCAGAGAGACAGAAAGTGTGAGCGGGACATGCAGAAAGAGAAAAGAAACAGAGAGAAGAAGAAAAAGTGGAGAGAAATGTTTGATGAAAGGCTTCTGGAGGTTCAGCTGGACCGATGTGACCTCAGCTTTAGCTGTCCGAGTCAAACAAATGGCCTCTGCGGGACTAGTTTCAGTCATTACCTGATCTCCGAATCCTCTCGGCCGTGAAAGCTCCGCTCCTTCACAATACTCCGTCTGAACACAGCACTTGCGGAGGAAAGCGCCGGTGATTGACATGTCAGCACTTCTTGTCAGGGATTTATGCAGTGCGGCTGAAAATGCTCCTGCACCGCAAGGTCATAATTTAGCTTCCTCTCGGTTTACCTTCCCCCTGATAGAATTGCTTGTAATTTATAGTATTGTTTTAATTAAATGGATTGAGAGAGGCCTAAGTGCCCACAGTTTTAAGACAAGCTATTTTTTAGGAAGTACGATCTGAATTCTTAAACTCTTGCCTGGGACAGGCATAAAGTAGAGCAATAAAGCAAATGACCACTAAACCGGGGATGGTTGTTAGTGGAATTAAATCATTATAGAAATGTCACGTGCAACCAGACACAGCCACACCTGCACACGACAACAGAAGTAAAGCCAGTCTTGTATTGTGAGCGGTGTTGGCGAACCCAGTGTGAGGGTTGGGATCTGCAGGTTCATCCGAGGCTGGACTTTCTCCAGTGTAAGGTGATGATCAGAGGTGGATGATGCTCAGCTTTTGCCTGGCCATAGATGTTAATAGGGATTTCTGATAACTGCTCTGGGAAAACACTGCCCACAACTGCTGCACGTAACCGTTTCCACACTCCAAATCTACACTTTTATTCCTAATGAGAACAGAGAAGCTGATTCTAGATCAGTGGCAGGACAAGTTTTTAGTTCATGCTTTAGCATTAAAAAAGCCCTGTTCACACGAAGAAAGATAACTATAAAGATAACAATATTAGCGTCCACACCAGCGAACAATATTGTCTGTTTATTCTCAGCGCATGCTTGTCTGCCGCTTTGATGGATTCTGATTGGGTGTCAATGTTTTTATCATTCATCAGCTGGAAAAAATAATTGTGAAAGTGATTCCAATTAAATTGTTAGTTGCACTTTATTTTACAGTACGTGTACTTACATGTACTTACAGTGTACTTACAGTGTACTTACCCAAGAAAGTACTGGTAATATTAGGTAACTACATACAATGTTCCTGTGGCTCAGTGGTAGAGCATTGCGTTAGCAGCGCAAAAGGTCTTGGGTTTGATTCACAGGGAACACACATACTGGTAAAAAATGTATAGCCTGAATGCACTGTAAGTCGCTTTGGATAAAAGCATCTGCTAAATGCATAAATTATTATTATTTTTATTACATTGGGTAGGGTTAGGTTTAGGGGTAGGTTCAGGGTTAGTGCCTGGTTATTACCTAGTTATTGTAATTAATACAAGTACATAGTATGTACATGAGGAGCAGGACTGTAAAGTAAAGTGCTACCAACTCCGTGCCTTTATTGTTATAGCGGTGGTGTGGACTCTGCTATTCATAAATACTGAGAAAGATTTTTAGAACTATATCTTTATAGTTATCGTCCTTGGAGTGAACTGGCCTAAAGTGTTTGTCTCCAGGTATGTGGCAGTGTTTCATTTTAAATTACATCCATATTAACCAGAATCGTCCCTTGAATATGTTCACCGCTGGATTTAATCCTAACGAGTGTGATTGTCTGTGTAAATAATAATAATGTTGTACAGTAGCTAGTGGAATATGACTTCAGACAGCAGGAATTCCATTTGAAATGAAACATTTCTATTGATGACACCGTTCATGAATCCATAGTGTGTGCATGCATCACACATCTGCTCATCGTTGTTGTTCATGTAGGTTTGATTGGAGAGTAATACAGGTTCATGATTTATGAATAATATCATCTTTCCCTGCGGATGCTTGGAAAAAGCACAAGTATGAGTTGCTGTAATGTATTCCTGTGTAAGGATGTGCCACATCTGTCAGTTCGGCAAAAAAGTCCCAGTGAATTGGCCTGATGAGCATCTGTTGATCTGTATTTCTGATTTAAACAGACTGATAGAGGAGGAACGTCGCAGCCAGCATTAAACCTGGGACTCTGTTGCTGTGGACATTTGAGTCAGTGTGTGAATTCACAAACTCTGTTATGACTTGACGCTTTGTCTTTGTCTTTCTCAGTAATGCTTTTGCCAGACACACAGAGGGTTCAGGTCAGCGTTCAGTCTTTACTCGGTTGGTTGCTATTGAACTACTCTGAGAGAGACCGAGAGAGAGACTTGACTGAAGGAGCAGAATATTTTGGGAACGCATGCCTTCATCGGACCACAAGCCAGCTTACATTCACCTTCTATAGCTTATTTATTTGGCTACTCAGAGTGACTTGGGGAAAACAGCGAGTCATGTCAACAGTTGACATGGGTTTTGTTGTTTTTCTTGTTTATGGGTGAATAATGAAAATGTGGCAATAACAACCATCCTCAATGATCCATCTCTGCCCAGTTGTCATTTAAACTCATTTACACAAAGAAGGTTTTAAAAACGTTGTGGGAACATTGTTTCTAAAATGTTATGTCCAGTTTTTTTTTTTTTTTCGGTTTTTTTTTTGTGATTATAACATTATTTAAATGTTACAAAAATATTTCTTACAATGTTCCATTAACTTTATTTTCATTCAAAATAAAACATGATTTGAAACATTGTTTTGAATTGTCTAAGAATGTTAAAATGTCCAGTTTTCTTATGATTATAATGTAATTGAAATGTTATTAAAACATTTTTACAAACTTTAATTTGACCCAAAAGATATCATGATTTGAATGTTTATTTTTACTGTTTTCTCTCAACATTATGAGAATGTTCAACAAGTGCAAACAACATCGTAAAGATGTTCCCAAAAATGTTGTTCTAAGAACCTTTTCTCTCAATGTCTTGAGAACATATATCAAATATTAATAAAGTTAAACATTACTTTAAGAATGTTTTGTTCTAAAATTCTTATAACTTTCAAAAAATGTTGAAAGTTGTGATACCGTTCTCTGTCAGCTGGGTTTTTAGTCCTTACTAACATACTTGCTCAGAGGCACATCACGGTTTATACAGATATTTTCACATCAGTTCATTCATTCATTCTGTCTTTCTCTGTAAATTGTTTTGGACGCAGGAGGTCAGTTATGGCATTATGATGGCACAAACGTTCCCAACAGTGTTTTAATGAGCAGAGCAGCTTTCAGCCGTCTGGATGATCCTCTCCACTGGATGTGAATGAATAGAGGCCAACACAGACAAACACAATTAACACGCCATAGAGACCCGATTAACTAGGATGTTCTTGCTCTAATTTCCCAATTCATACAAAAACACGCCGGCATGCACTATAACAGACATTTGTTACATGTATGAGTAACTGAACGATTCTGAGTGCAGGTGGTACGTATAGCTACGTTTTGCAGAACCATCTCAGGCTACATGGATACAATTGGAAAAAAAACTGACAGTCTGAGTTTCTTTCAAAATACTGGCATTTTGTTCAAAGAGCTTCTCAGAAATACAATTGTATGCAGATTTTTCTGGAAGCATCCACTTTTCAATTATAAGCTGTCTACTAAACAGAATCTTCGGTTGGCATTATAATTTCGTCCCCTGCTGACAAACATAAAACACAAAGATGTTCATTATACAGTATCAACTTAAATCTAAAATAAATATATAGAGAGAGATGAAGACATGAAGCTAGCTTTAATTTCAGTGTATGTTGTTCTGAAGATTGCAAACACAGGCCAACTGTAAGTAGTGCCGTTCCTGCTGAATCACTGCTTCAGATGCTTTGGTCTGTGTGCCATGGTACAAAAGACTGAAGAATTTGCCCTAATACATGTCTGCGGAAGGTGTGTTTGTGCCGCTGGGATCCGTCCTGTGTTAGAGATGGAACCACAGTGACCTCCAGTGGCCCAGAGAGGAAACTCCAGCATTCAGAGATGGTTCATTTTCACATACGGGCAGAACAGGTGATTCTCATTAGCATCAGTTGTTCATGCTATCACAGAGAAACACTGATTTACTTCAGTCGAGAGTCTCTGTGTTAATGTTAAAGCGTGTAGTATCTCCTTTATAGACTCTCACAGGCCTGCAGTGATTGTGTGTCTAGTATAGTTTTGGGAAAGTGTTGAGGCAGTTGTAGGGTTATAGTGATGTCAGTCTAAACTCCCTCACAATCTTTGTTGCAGCTTCTGTTTCTTAGAGAGAGAGCAAATCATACAGCCGTCCACAGGCCAGGCTCCGTTAGAAAGCTGCTTTCACAGATGATATATACGGACTTGTGTTGTGATGTGTGTTTTTGCAGGCAGCCCCATGAACCTGACCTGCCGAGCTTTCTTTGGCTACAGCGGAGACGTGAGTCCTCTCATCTACTGGATGAAGGGAGAGAAGTTCATTGAGGATCTGGATGAAAGCCGAATCAGAGAAAGCGAAATCAAGTAAGCCATTCAACCCAATGACATCCTTTCTTTTCATTTATCGAGAAGTCCGTGTCTGAATTTGTGTGTGCAACAAAATGAATATATTGTGTGTTTGTACACACATAAATCTTCCACATCCAGCTTGATTCAACCCCGTCTAAGTCATTCAGCGGCCATCAGACAAGTGTTAAGACCTTCTGAGTAAAAGCATCCCATTAATCCTCAGCCATCGGGACGGAGATGAGCAGACAAGCTTCTTTCTCTTGTAATCTCCAACTAAATTTCATTGGTTCCATCAATAATGCAGTTCAGGCACATACAATCTTTATCACAGCGTGACGAGTATCAGGGTCAAAGCGTCTGACTGAATCTGTGCTCACCAGAACTAGGTCTCCAAGCTGAATATGCTACACAAATGTGAGCAGTTGAAGGAAAATCTGGACAACTTGTTAAGATTTTGCCAAACCCACAATCCCAAAACCACTGGTGCAACTCTTCACTGGCGCCTAAGCGCAGCTCCCACAGAATCTTCAAGGTTGTACAAATAGTTGTCGATTCAAACCACAACAAGGATCCCCAATAATCAGATATTTGATATTATTGATGCAGCTCTGCTGCACTTCAGCCTAACAATGCTCATCAATGTCAAAATGTTTGAGATGGCCAATCAAACCAATACAACGCTTCAGCTTTTAACAGTACAAAAGTGAGATTTTATTTATTTATTTGCTCAGATTTGACGGCTTTGAATTGAAAATAGCCTATATCATTTATATAGGGCTAATTCATGTAATTGAATGTAAGAGACAACAAACTTTAACAGAGCTGTTTGGGCATAATAGGACAATTAAGAGTGAATGTGCATATTTTAAAATAAAAATTTTGTTTGCAAGTAGGTCAAATGCATGACTTTACAATAGATCCCAGCCTAAAAAAAAAGTTATAGCAATTTTCTTGTCCCCTCAATGTTCACGATTATGGCCTTGCTACAGCGTTATTGTTTGCAGAAATGAGAGTCGTTACATGATACATGCATACCTGGTGCTTTATGGAAGAGATACAAGACACACATACTATATATGTTTCCATCAGTATAGATACAGACTGTATGCGACTTTTCTCTCACTGACTTTCACTGGTTATGAGCATCAAAGGAGCCCAGAGCCCTTTGCACTTTCAGGGTGTGTTTTGCTCATGCTGTGTCTGAATGCAAGCGTTTCTCTGCATTCTCGTCTATGCTTCATATGTCAGCTGTCAGTTCGTCAGAACCAATCCAAGCCTCCAGAGAGACTGAGACCGACTGTGCCAGTGGCTGAAAGCCACGGCCTGCTAATATTGAACAGCTGACTGTAATGACAGTAGAATTTCATTTCTGAATCTGAGACGTCCAGAATGCTCAGTGACGGGCTTGAGATCCAGTAAGTTTGGGTCTCTGTCCACTTTAAACACTGTGATGAGTCTGATCTTTGCCGGCACACTGGACTCATCGGTCCTGACTTCACTGTAATGATGTCAAACATCCACAAACATGAAGAGGGCAGAACGTCACCTCATTCTTTTTGAACAAGAACAGAACAATGTTTCTTTAATGTCATGAATTCCTCATCATCCTCTCTCTCTCTCTCTCTCTCTCTCTCTCTGCAGACATAATTTCCATGGCAGCTGCAAAGAAAAGACACTTTTTTTCTCTTGCTAACCCTGTTATTTTGTTCTTCCCCACAGTGCTGGTGAAAGCTTGGCAGCCGTGTGTGTGTGTTTTATGAAGGATGGGATTCTGTTAATCAAAATTTCAAAGTTTTATTAACTGTCAGTTCTTCATTTTCTTCACTGTTTCTGATGAGAGGTTGTGGGTGTTAATATTTTCCTCAATAGCTGAGTTACATTTTCTGAAAACTATAAAAATCATCCCTCAAGCATACATCTGTTTTACAAATGTCAAACTTTCAAGACAAAATCAAATAGTGTTATTTTGATATAATTTAGAATTTACCTTTGAATAGCTCACAAAGCTTTGAAAATGCGGCTAAAATGTACAGAAATTGTATGCAGGTTAAAAAAATGCTATCATCAAATAGGAAAAAGTTTCTAGATATATAATTTTACAGTATGTAGGTGGAGTAGGAAAATATGCTATAAGTGTGCATGTGAATCCTGAATATACTGAAGAAATGTAGTGAAAAGTACTAAAGAAATAGAGGAAACATTTCCCAAATGTACACGGTCAGATTTTGGAATCACATCTATATCCACATCAGATCACAACAGAGAATCTCTTCTAGAGCACAAGCTCTTTTTGTGTGTTTTTATTTTTAGATCCACAGCCAATTAAATTGTAGCCCTTTTTATTCATCCTGACTGTTGTGTGGAAAATGTTGCTTATTAGTGATAGCATGGTGAGGATTGTGTGTTCAGCCAGTGATGAATGCTGGAGCATGATAGCATGATGTAATTCACCCGTATTGTCTTTGATTTGAAACAAAAAAAAAACTGATTCATAGTTTCGAGAAATTGACTTTTTTTTGGACAGGGTCATTGTGGGTCAGGATGTCTGGCTAAAAGAACAGATATAGAGGAGCGATAACACAGGGAGGAGGCTGTGATCAGCATGAACTTGAGAGTGAATTTGATTCAAATCATAGGTGTTTATTGTTGAACAGTTTTCCCCTTCTTCTCTCCTCCAATCCAGAACTATTTGGGAGCACTTGGGAGAGCAGGAGGTGTCCATCTCGCTGACCATAGACGCCGTAGAGGAGAGTGACCTGGGAAACTACTCCTGTTATGTAGAGAATGGCCACGGCAGACGACAAGCCAACATCCAGCTCAGCAAGAGGGGTAAAAGACCATCGTTCATATCAAACCATCGTTTGTTCAGCTGTGAGCTGCTTAAAACACTTCTGTGCCAGTTCTATAATCTTCTATTTAGTTTATTCAAATTCTTTTTGAAAGAACATACATGTCAAGTTGTCACCTTTATTTCTATAGCCAGCAAAATAAGTATAGAAGATTTGGAGGCCGCTCTTGCCAGTCTTAGGGCTTCAATAACTGAAAGCAAGGCAGTCTCAGTCGAATGTCCACTTCTGAAGCCATATTGGTTGCTGTCCAGGAGGTTGTTCTGTGTGGGAAAGGCTGAGACTTGGTTGAACACAACTCATTCAAGTGTTTTTCCAATGAAAGGTAGAAGGGAAACCGGTCTGTAGCTCTCTAAAAGAGTTGGGTTAAGAGTGGGTTTCTTAAGAAGTGGGGTTATACGAGCCTGTTTAAATGTTGAGGGAAAAACACCAGTGTGAAGGGATGTGTTAACGATGTGAGTGAGTGCAGGTACAACGGCAGGAGAAATGGCTTGAAAGAGATGAGATGGAATAGGATCAAGCGGACAAGTAGTAGGATGATTGGAAAGGATGAGTTTAGAGACTTCTGCCTCAGGGAGTGGAGAGAAGGATGAAAACGAGTGTATGTTTGCTGGTAATGAGTGTATGTTTCGCTTTATACAATACAGATTGTGTCAAAGCAGCTTTACAGTGTTAAACAGGAAAATAGTGTGTCAATAATGCAAACAAAATTCAATTCTGCTGTAAAGCAGCTCTAATAAAGGACAATAGTAAACAGTCAATATTTCAGTTAAACTCAGTTGATTCAGTAATGTCCAGCTTAGTTCAGTTCTCTTCCAATAGTGTCTGTGCAATCAAGTCCACAATATTTCAAAAAATTAAGTGTACATAACGAAGGCATTTTTTCCAGTATAAGTTTATTCAATTCAATTCTAGTTAATTTGTATAGCGCTTTTCACGATACAAATTGTTGCCAAGTAGCTGTACAGAAAAGTAAGTTTCTACGATATTTAGTAGTAGCTTATCAGTGGTGACTGTAAGTTAATGTACATATGGCAGAAATGTACGGAAAAATCAATTAAAGACGTAATCAAACAGACGATGAACACTATTAACAGCAAAGAATGCTGTTTTTGTAACATGGGAAATATGATTTTCAAAAGACAAGTTGCTATCTAATATAGCACCCAGATTTTTGACTGTAGAGGAAGTAACAGTACATCCGTCTAGTTGCAATAAGCAATATCTCGGTCTTATCCGAATTTAATAGGAGAAAATTATTGGTAATCCAATCCTTTACATTTTTAACACACTCTGTCAGCTTAGATAATTTAGAAGTTTTATCTGGTCTTGTTGAGATATATAGTTGAGTATCATCAGCATAACCGTGGAAACTAATCCCGTATTTTCTAATAATATTACCAAGGGGCAACATGTATATTGAAAATAGCAGAGGACCTAGGACAGATCCTTGTGGCACTCCATACTTTTCTGGTGATAATTGAGATGACTCCCCGTTTAAATAAACAAAGTGGTAGCGATCGGACAGGTAGGATCTAAACCATCTTAAAGCCTGCCCTTGAATACCCGTATAGTTTTGTAATCAATCTATGAGTATGTCATGATCTATGGTGTCGAACGCAGCACTAAGATCAAGTAAAACTAGCATTGAGATGCAGAGATAAAATTCTTCATAGAGATAATTTTTTTGCAGGACTGCATTTTGTTTTATGTTGTTTATGGTAGAGCAGAAATTATGTTCATGTAGCTCACTGATCATTTATCAGCTACTCTCAGTTTTGGTGAAAAACAAGCCAATGTTAAAGTAGTTTTACTGTAAAATCCAGTTGTAATTAGTCAATGTGACCAGTTTCTGGCAACAAGTATCACTTCCTGATTTTCCAAAAGGCCTGAATTGGGGGAAACACAGTTATTGTTTGTGAGTAATTATTTGAAGTGAGATGGTTTACTTTTTCTACAATGTATAGTATTTTTTTGTTGTTGTTGTTGTTTGTTTTTTTTAATCGCGGAGTTCGGGCAGGTCTGTATTTGTTGATTGTGAATGATGCTTCTTAACATCTTAGCTGGATATTAAGGTTTGTTTCTTTCTTAGAGCCTTAAGTTGAGAATATTTTTACATAGTAAAACATTTCTCTTTTAAAATATGAATCTGAAAATGGCTTTGATGGCAGACCGATCCTCTTTACTCTGTACATGAAAGAGACTGACTGTGAGAATGAAGTTGGGCAGATTACGCTGCAGTTGAGATTCACTCTTCATGTTTATTTCATGCCTTCAGTGCTGTTTAGTAAATACACATCCATACGGACTGATTCGAATCCACTGCAACACTTGACACTTGTTTTTAAGTCCAATGGCTCAGATGAGGGAAACAGAAAGATCTGTTTGCTTACAAATACACGTCGTGTTGAGTTTGTTGGTGTTCTGCCCAGCACTCACACATCTGAGAGTTACGCTTTTAATGACCAGTTACCATCAGATCCTAAAACCTGTGGGATCTATCAACACTAGACGCTTCCTTTCCGAACAGACACATTGAGAAAAATGGCACAGCTCTAATTCCCAGCAGATGCATCAATGCGGCCGTTTCCTCTGACAAACAGTGAATTCATCAGCTTCCATCCTTCATTCCAGAACATTGAACACAAACACATGAAAGCAGCCGTCATCTATGCTCTCTGACACGATCCAAAATGTCACTGGCGATGAACAGAGCTGCTAATGCAGACCTGACGTGACACGACGGTCTGTCACAGCATGAACTCTGCCCATTTACAGAGGATTGATCTTCATCCGGCCGCTGTGGCCGATCAGAGGCTAATGATCCTCTTCAGTTTAATATCACAGCAGTGGCGGGACTTTCTCAGACACAGACACAGAAGAAGAACATCACAAACACATCGGTGGTCTTCGCCTCATTCAGACAGCCCCTGAATAACCTGCACTTCAATGGTGGACAGTAACAAAGTATTATACTTCATTACTGTACTTAAGTACATTTTTCAAGTATTCAAACTGTCACATGCTCTTTTTAATGAACCTCGTAAATCGGTTCACAAATCACACAATTCAATTGTGAACTGGACAGATCAGATAGCAGCAGTTCTCCGCATGTCCTGATTTTGCTGAGCTAGATGTGCTCCTAAGTCAACATATTTTGTTGACCCTGGAACAACATTTTAACACAAAAACTTAGTCTTGACCATATCCCTACACCTAAATCTAACCTTAACCATGAGTAATCCCTAAAATCAGAGGAAATTATAGATGAATGACACTGATGTACAAGCACCAAACACTGATTGTAAGTATAAACTGGTGTTTCAAATCTGATTGGTTAATCAAAATGTTGTTCCAGGGTCAACAAAGATGTTGATCCAGGAACATGTCGCACTTGGTAAAATCAGGTTCTGCGCGGTTCTCCAGTCAATAACTCACTGACTCAAATGATCCGGTCAGAGTGAGTCCCACAAAATCACCTTCTGTGACTAGCGAGGTTGTTTGTGAAGTAAATGTGCTGCAAAAGCAGATATGAAATTTAAAACTAAATGCTTGAATGCGAACATGTCCATGTTTGTGTATCACCGTCTCAACAGGGTAAAAACCTAATCTGACATTAAAATAACAAATTTATGCCCATGCATCTTCCCTGCTGCCAAAGCCATTTCAAATGAACTTTAAACTAGTATGTTTGCACAGTGTTCTTCTTAAAACATACATTTTGCACTATGTGATGTCTGTTTTACAGTACATATTATTTTTCCTCACTTTTTATATACTATATGTTAGATTGTGTTTTCCCCCCACTTGTTTGCACAAATAAAGTGTCAGTTACCCTAATTGATATTTTTAACATATTTAATGTTTTGTTAGTGAATGACAAGCCCCCCTCCACCAGGTATTTTGAGCAGTAGGATTATATAAAAGCAGGATATAAAATTCTTAAATATATGTTAAAATTAAAAAAAAAAAACATTAACCGATTAGTACTTTTAACTTCTAATACGTACATTCAAAATCAAATGCTTTTGTGCTTTTACTTGAGTAAAATTGAAAAGGAGTACCTAATACTTTTACTGGAGTAATATTTTATTAGGTATCTGTATTTTATTCATCGTGGACGAGCCGTCAGACAGTGTGATCAGTCTGTACTGGTAAACGCAGAAGTGCAGGAAGAGTTCTCTCACTTTGGTATTTGTTTGACATGTTTAATGCAAACAGGATGGAAAGAACAATGTTCTAAACAGATGGAGAGACATTTCAGTCTAACCTGATCACAATGTTGATTGACAGAGCGAGCGTTTGCTGATGTATGTCGAGCATATTATAACTGTCTCGGTCTCTCTGTCTGTCTCTCAGCAGAACTCATGTATACGGTGGAGCTGGCTGGAGGTTTGGGAGCCATTCTGCTGATGTTGATATTTTTGGTGTCCCTGTATAAGTGTTACAGAATTGAACTCATGCTCTTCTACAGAAATCACTTTGGCAGTGAGGATGTGGACGGAGGTAAGGAATTTTAGAAAGAAGTTTCAACAATCTATATAGAGAACTGTGGAATTCATCAATATTCCTGAGCCGTTATGGTCGACCAGTTTCTCCTTCACAATACAGGAATCAGTTAAGAGGCACAAGGCAATAAAATGTTTTATTGACCAGATATATTTTCATGAACATTAACATATCCCTACGATTAAGTGTTGGTTGGTTTTGTGTCCCTCAGATATAGGCTGATTGCATATAGGAATAAGAATAAATATTGAAGCACCTAATAAATAAATAAATAAATAATTTCCTAATAAATAATCATATGAGTTTCTTTTAATCATTGCTGTTAAATAACTTGCACAATGACCGTATGAGCCAACACCTTTAGTCAGCTGTTTCTCGTGCCCTTTTTCCTAATTGCTTATATCAAATTTTATTGATGTTCCAATGTTTTTGATCTTCTCAGTTTTCTGATGTAAATTTTGCTCCAGTGGGGCTTTTCTTTGAGAGTCGTTACTTCTGCTTTTGGTTTGGTAAAGCCTGCGGGTGTTAACCGGTGCTTCTGAAGCTGATGGAGGAGGAAGATGAGAAATAGGGAGGCAAAGGGACAGTAAAACACCTTTTACTTTAATTCATTATCAGAGGGTCTCTTGTTGTGCCTCTCCAGGCAGACAGAAGCTACTTTTAATGGCCTGAGAGACAGAGCTAGACAGATCTTCTCAGTCGACATCAGTGTAGCACGTTCTGCCGAAGCTGATAAAGAACCTGATGCTTCCTCATAGACACACTCAAACTCATGATCCGCACGACTGTCTTTCTCTGCAAGGTGATTTCTGTCCAAATAAACGAAGAAAAGTACCAAGTACCAATTCAAACCTTTCATGCGCTTTGGAGATCTGGATCGTTCATGAACGCAGCCGGTGTGAAGGGAATAGTGTAGTTTTCACTCAGGATCATAAATGCTGCTGCAGTTGCAGGTTATGAATGCTGCTTTTGTGTGGAGGAAATCTGTTTGACTGTGATTCTCCATTCTGTGTGTGTTTTAAGAAAATAAAGACTACGATGCATACGTGTCCTACACAAAAGTGGATCCAGACCAGTGGAGTCAGGAAACCAGAGAGGAGGAACGTTTTGCTTTGGAGATTCTGCCAGACGTTCTGGAAAAGCATTATGGGTATAAACTCTTCCTTCCTGACAGGGACTTGATACCAACTGGAAGTAAGTTGCATTTGTTGTTAGGTGTGTGTGAGTGTGTGTAAACATGTATGTGTGTAGTGCTGCATCTTCAGCCTATCGAATGCTTCATCTTTATTTTCAGCATAATTTTTTCAGCATCAAGTATCTATTGTTTTATAAGCTTTTTGTTTGGTCGGTAATTTTCTTTCAATTCAAAATAATATTTATAAAAGTGCTTTGAGTGAAGCTTCTTGAACATGATTTGCTTCTTGTTCGCTTGTATGTTTTTATTTGCTGGTCTGACTCGACACTTCTGTCTTGCCCTTTTCCCTTTTATTTCACACATTTGTGTGTGTGTTTTGTCTACATTCATGTCTTTTGTCCGGGGACTGTTAGATGTTAATATGGGACGAGGTGCTCACAATCTGGGCTAAGAAAGCATTGATTCATGTTTGTGTTTAGGAGTTATTGGCTCTTCACTGAGCAGCTTAAGCCGTGTTTGATGTAAATCACTTCACGGATGTGAACAACTAAAATGAAGGGAAGTGTAAGCGTATGTTACTCTGTTAGCTCTGTTAGCCCTGCAGCTACAAGTCCCATATTAAACTGGATAAACTGGTGATCGTAACTGAAAATCCTAAGGCAAAAATACACAGTTATGCCAGTTTCTCTTGTGGAAGTCCTTGCTTGTTTGTTTCTCTGATTGACTTTCTGCTGAATCGGCTGATCAGACTTTCAATGTTGAAATATTTATGTCTAGGTTTCACCAATGATCATTTCCAGGATGACACAAGACTCCTTAGAGGTATTCTTCCATGGCCTTTTCCACTTGTGTCAACAAATCTGACTTGCACCTTTTTGCAGACTTCACCTTTGGGGGAAATTGGGACGTGGCGCTGAGTTTAACTGGCATTCAGGTTGAGCTGTACACCATCATATGTTGTGAATGTAGAAAATGAGATAAAGCGATTGACTTGGATGAGTCTAAGAGAGGCTTTGGGAGTTTCTCCTGTTAGAGAGCGAGTGGTTTTGGACGGGTGGTGTTTGGAAAGTGTTATTATGTTCTTCCGTTTGATTTGTTGTGAAGTAAGGCTAGAGAGAACGACAAGGAAGAGATAAGATAGAAGTCATAAAGCTTGATGACTGCATTTAACAATAAGACCTTTTTGACTAAATGTGTTACTCTACTGATGTAGTAGGGCTGGGCGATATGATGATAGTATTGTATATAGACAATGTCGATGTCAAGAGTCAGGTAACAGATGATTATTGACAATATTAAAAAAACCTGGAAAAAAGTGGTTCCAATTCTGGAAATAAGGCATAAGGTCAGCAATCGAATTATTTGTTATAAAATTAAATCCGCTTAACGATTCCTGTGTGTGCATTTTAATGTGATTTTAAAAGATTAAAGCGCAAGAATATGAAAGAGAACTAATTTCTGCACTGCGAACACTAGACTGAGGTCTGTTTCCGTCTTCTTCCACTTGAATGGACAAATACACAGAATTATATCAAAATATCCCTGTAAACATAGATGGTTATGTCTTAAGTGAACGTAAACAGTTGAGAAAGAAAACACGGGTGTTTTGCCTCTGTGCATTGACAGCAGCATTAACCCGCTGCCGCCTGTCATTCATGTTAATCAAAGTACAAAAGAAAAAGAAAATCACTCACTGATATAGACTGAATCAATTTTGTAACACCTGTATTTTATTGGCCTTTTGTTCAGCACTGACTACTGTAATGGCAACATGTGTCTGTGTATGTGATTATCCAGGAGATGCATTCCCACATCCTTTATCCTTATTTAGGGTATTCTTCAGTGAATACCCTTTTACTTTAGGGTATTCAGTTTCCAGTGTTGGCAGCCCCATTATAGCACATTGTGTGCATTGCATTTTATCTAATTATAGCTTGACTACAAGTTTAGTGCAGTGCTACAAATGTTATAATCAAGGCAATTAAACTTACCATAATGAAAGGTGTCTACTCAGGTGATAATGCCAAAAAGAAAGAGAAACATCTGAAAAATAGGCTTATTTTATTCAAGACATTACTATGTGACACCAACATGCATTTATCATTCTTACAATCACCAGCAGAATGTCCACCTTCACCATGATGAACCTAAAATTGGGTTCTATTCAACTTTTCTCAACAGTTCTCCTCACAAAATTAAATTTATTTCGAACACATTTAATAAGAACAGAGCAGAAAAGCTAATGTTTTCTGATAGTTTAAGCACAAACTAAGAAACTAAGAAAAGTAAAACCAACCTTTAACATGTTAATAATTAAACTAACTGAATCGCTGGCTATCATTAGATAAAGTGCAGCCAAACTGAACATGGTTTTGTGTTTATGGTGCATAAATTGTTTTTATTGTTGGTATTGGTGTTTCCAGTGGTGGCGGGTCTTGGATAGACAATATTATTGTTTATCATGATATATTATTTAAGGTGATTATTGTTAAGATATTTTTTTACATATTGCCCAGTCCTATGGTATGGTCATCTGACACACACACACACACACACACACACACACACACACACACACACACACAGATAACTCTCACTTTCACCAGATTGAAGCCACAGTTGTGACCAATGAATGAAAGTCATTTGCAGCCCCATTTGTCAGGTTTAGACTGAACGTGTTTGGTTTTCTCAGCTATGCTGTATTAGATTAATATATAAAACTTAGGAACCACCACAGGGTCTTGTTCAGATGAGTATTTGTGTTCGATGTCTGTCCTGTTCCCCCTTCTATGTTTTCAGTATGTTCATTGAGTCATTCTGCTGTTTTTATTTCACATCTTAGTGAAGTTCTTTGACAGAGAGTTTTACATACAGTGCTGTGCTATGGCAGTATTTACCCAGAACAAAATTGGCTTTAAATCAGATTTCACTCATAATTTGCTAGTAAATTTCCCAAAGAGTGACATTTTTTACAGCGTAGATCACATTAGATTTGCGTTTTCTTCTGTTTTAACTGCATGCTGTCATATTCAAAGCAAAACTGGTTGAATAAAAGCAAGAATGATATTGATATGTTTGCCGGATTTGAAGCTGTGGAAGCCACTGACGCTCTGTCTCTCTCTCTCAGCGTATATCGAGGATGTGGCTCGCTGCGTTGACCAGAGCAAACGCCTCATCATCGTGATGACGCCCAACTACGTGGTAAGGCGCGGTTGGAGCATCTTCGAGCTGGAGACGCGGCTGCGCAACATGATGGTCAGCGGCGAGATCAAAGTCATCCTCATCGAATGTGCCGAGCTTCGGGGAATCATGAACTACCAGGAGGTGGAGGCTCTCAAACACACCATCAAACTGCTGACTGTCATCAAGTGGCCGGGACCCAAGAGCAGCAAGCTCAACTCCAAGTTCTGGAAGCAGCTGCAGTACGAAATGCCGTTTAAGCGGACCGAGCCCAAGCTGTCGCACGAGCAGGTGCTGGATGTCAGCGAGCAGGGCCCGTTTGGAGAGCTGCAGACCGTCTCTGCCATCTCTATGGCCGCGGCCACCTCCACCGCCATGGCCACCACGCATCCCGAGCTGCGCTCCACCTTCAACAACACTTACCACACGCAGCTGCGGCAGAAGCACTACTACAGGAGCTACGAGTACGACATTCCCTCGTCCGGCACTCTCCCGCCGCTGTCCTCGCTGGGCAGCCAGCACACCTACTGCAACATCCCCATGACTCTGCTGAATGGCCAGCGGGTGCAGTGCAAGCCGGGCCGCGAGCAGCAGCAGGCGCTGGAGGAGCAGCACGTCAACAACGCCATGCTTCCGCTGCTGCCCCGTGAGACCAGCATTTCCAGCGTGATCTGGTGACGCCGTCGGGAAGGGACGTTTCTGCAAATGGCACTTATTAAGACCCTTACAAACTGCTGCTGTTGACTTTGCACTGCGATTCACACGCAGGGGTGGCGGAAACCGAAGGAACGCGACGAAGACAGGCTGACGGGGACACTGATAGCACACATACATCACAGAGATGTATATTTGACAACTGCATTTACATCTGGAAGACGTTTTTTTTTTTTAGAGCAGTGGTCTCAAAGTCAATTCCTGGAGGGCAACAGCTCTGCAGAGTTTAGCTCCAACCAGCTTCAAATCACACCTGCTTGGAAGTTTCTAGTGATCCTGAAGACTTTGATTATCTGGATCAGGTGTGTTTGATTAGGGTTGGAGCTAAACTGTGCAGAGTTGTGGCCCTCCAGGAATTGACTTTGAGACCAATGTTTTAGAGTGTTTGCTCATCTACGATCTTTAACAGACGTACAGATGTACGTGTGCTATCTGGGGAGGTTCGTTCTCTCACAGACTGCTCCTTCATACTTTCTCAAGGAATACAGGGTCTTGTACATATGTTTGTGGTTTCTTTGTAGCATTGGAATTTTTGTTCTTTTGTTTTCTTTTTCAAATGTCTGATTTTTAATTTTCCCCTTATAAAATGACTGAGCAGAGACATGCGAGACAGAGTAAAGGCTGACCTGTTGTGTTTTTCTCTTAACTTGTAGTTTTCAAGTACAATACTTGTTTTTATAGAATTTGTGGGATTGTGCTGTTTTTGCTTTTGAGATTTTTTTTATTGGTCAGTTGGTGAGATGTCTCTACTTTGATGAAAAACACCATTATGCAAATGCTCCTGAGGCCTGAAAGCTCTTCTTCTTCCCGAATGAACGAGCGAGCAGATGACGTTCAAGGGGAAAACTAGATGTCGTTATGACGCTCTACTGTCTCTGCTGCTATCCATTTCTCTCTCTAAGCTACTGAGACTTTCTGTTAGAAAAGAAAACAGCTTTGCTGTTCAGCTTGATAGGGAGAACTTAAGAAAAACTGTATTATTATTTTAAAAGAAAAAAATATATTTTTATAACAAAAGGATTTGCTTGGAAAGACACACAGTAGGTCACATTTCATTCATTTCATCAATAGAAGCACCGGAGGGACATTTTAGCTCACCAATTTCAGAGAAAAAACAAATGTTTTGATAATGGTCCTGTCAAATCATGGATGAGCAAGGGAAAACCACTTGCTGTTTTTATTTTCCCCACAATTCTGGAATTCATTCCTAAGTGTGCATAACGATTAGATATGTATTCAATTTATTATATAATTATCAATATTTCTCACCAGAAAAAGTGCTTACGATACAAATCCATGTCTCTATCCTCCACTGTAGTGCCTCCAGCTGCTCCACCACAGACGCCATCCACAGGTTAAGAGCGGTACTGCGTCTCTCACAGTTTCTTAGATACTGCCATGACACCACTGCTCTCCAGCTCATCCGTGTTTCTTGTTCTACTGTAGTGATCGTAGAGGGCAAGGAGCAGACCTGGGCCAGTTTTTACCTCATTTTATACTAAGGGCCAGTCCTGTGTCAGTCACTAGGGGCAGCTTAAATACATTAAGGAAAGAACGGTAGAGGGTCGAGTGAATGTCCAGTGTATTTACAGGAGGGTTAGTTATTCAGCCCTCTTATGCTGGACAGTCCAGGCGTTTCTTCATGAAGCTGCCCCTGTCATGCACAGCCAAGGCGTTCAGTTTAGCGTTAGACGCCAAGTCTTTTATTAGCCTCACTCTCAGTCTAATGAAGGCTTTACAACTCTGTTAGCATATAAATTAAGTGAAACCAAAGCTGGCAATTAGCGATGGGTGGGTACATGTATATTGCCTTCTCAGATGCACTGGTGGATATACGGGGAAACTGAACCAGGAACTAGTGTAGCTGAAACGGCTTATGAGGGGGTAAAAGCATTGTTGTGCCAATCCATGCAGAACAGCATAACATCATAGCCAGACCCCATGTCCTGTTCACAGTGTTTATTTGATCAGCCGTGCCAAAAGGGTCTTTTTTTAATATAAGGAACAGATTATATGCAAAAATCTGTAACTCTGAAAGGTGGCGAGAAAAACAACGGTCGTAAAGCATTTCATCCCAATCAGAGCCCAGATTCCCAGTTTGTAAATGTCACCTCGGTTTGGAATAATCTGTTGGTGCTGAACTTCTAATCTGAGAGGACACCAATCTGATTATTTTAACGTTATTATTTGAATGATCATATTTTTACAAGGCTTTTTTCTTGTATTTTATGTCATATTGTGTAAATATAAATTGAAATGGTAATAAAATTAAGACAATCTAGTGACATTCATGAAAGAAATGGTTGGTATTTTCTAAGAGAGTGGCAAATTGTTTCATGAACATTTCTGATATTACTGATAAAAATAAGAATAACATCAACAATAATAATAATATATAGCACAGAATTTGTCTCTGGCACTTTCACCAATCTTACACTAAAGATTAAGGTTATGTTTGTCTCCTGTTTTGAATTTTTCTCATTTTTAAATTCTGTATCTGCAATGTTAATTGAAGAGAAACTATCATTAATAAAATACACATTTAATAATATTTTATGTCATCTAGTTTCTTTAAATAAAGTTCTTTAAGTGAAACGGGGTTAGCATGATGTTCAAAGGTTTAGAAATACAGATCATTGTCGAATCGTTCAGCTCTCTGTTCTGTAAATTGGTGTGGATATACGTTATATGCAACATTCTGCTTTTTGAACATTAAATCGTTTGTTAAAGAAATGAGACCAGCAGGTGCGCATGTAAACTAAGAATGCATTTCTAGGTTGCAACATTCTGTTCTTTTTACACAATCACAAAAGCACAATAATAAACTGGAATAGATAATCTTTTCTACAAAACAATTAATACGGGATTATGGGAACCCTAAGCCAAGATACGTACAAATATTGTGTACAAGTATTGATAAATAATCATTATATTAAAAATACTAAATGAATGCAGGCCTGAGGTGTCAGTTATTCTGTTTTAACCATGGTTACGACACCTTGAGACATTTTCAGGTTGTTGTCCCAAAAATATAGCACTACTATCTTACATATCTTGCTTATGAAGAGCCAAAGCGTGTTTCCCGAAACCTTCTTAATGCTACGTCATTCTTAAGTTATACCTTAAGTTTGTAGGCTGCCCACATAGCAAACGATCTTGGCCCAAATGTGGCCTCAAGCTGGCACTACTGGTCTCCTGTCGGCAATGGCACCCTTTCAGCCGGAGCTGGGCTATGTGTGGCAATGATGGCAACGCGTGGATCACGGCAAACAATATGAAAGCCGATTGTTGGTGTGTTTATAATTTGATAATTTAACCATTATCATGTAATATTTATTTGGTTTACCATGGGGCACATAATTGTATTAATATGCTGTCATGCACAAGCATTAAATACAATTATCATAAAAGTATTTTATTTTTATTCAAATCTTCGGTATCTGTCTGATGCTTTGTGTGAAGAACAGATCCAGATTCAAACCATTCATCAGCGATATGTATCGCCAAAGAGTATATAAGCCCAAGAGGCGAAACTCTGATGCTTTTTTGGTAACAGCCACTAAATGGCACTTCGGTAGCGCAGCCGCCATTTTGGGGTGAAAATGCCAACTGGACAACAGGAAAGGCATCTTTTACATTATCCACGGCAGCCTCCTCCTTTAAAACCAGTGTTACATCAGTTTGGGGCAATGGACATTCTCCTCTTTGACCAGCATTCATCCCAGTCACCACCTGTTCATCATCAGTGGCCTGAAAAGAGAAAAACATTTGAAAAAAGAAAACATTTAATTAAAATCTATCTATTTTCAGATAGAGGTGCACCCACATCAGTAAGGATAGGTAAATAGTCTGTTTTATAATTTCAACCACTTTGTGTGGTTGGGTTAGGTTTTGAAAAATTACAACAGCTTCCCCCGACCTAGCACCCATCTAGGAAGGTTTGGAGTAGGGAGACTGAGGATGCGTGCATGGGCCTACGCCTGTTAGACTATACCAGGAAAGCCTTGATCCATCTCCTTTCCAGGAGAATAGCCTATTTGGCCGTTGGGCTGAGAATGTGGAGGACCAGGAAGTAGGGAGATTGAGAAAAGGATATTCCTGTTGGTTTTGTTTTGTTCCCTTCTAAGAGATTAGCCTAACTGGGCGTTTGGATATTCGGTTTGGGAAGGCTAGGTTTCAGGTCCATAAGTCTACGAACGGTAAGTTTTGGGTAAGTGTTGGTTCAGGGCTAGATTTAGATCTTTTTAGATGATGATTTTGGTAGGCAGACTTTGCCATGTTAGGGTTAGGGTTAGGTTAGGGTTAGGGTTAGGGTTAGGTTA